ACTTTACCAGTTATACAAGTTAGACTGATTGGCCTATAGTTTGACAAATTACTTCTATCCCCTTTTTTGAAAATGGGCGTTATGTTGGCATGCTTCCAAATCAGAAGGTACCACACCTTCAGATAAGGATTTTTGAAACAGTAAAGTTATGGGTCGGCAAATAATATCCCTCATCTCTTGTAACACTATAGGTAAGATCACTCTGTCCTCCCTTCCCACAATGCTAGCGAACACTGGGCACACTCTTTGATGTAGATCGGAGGTGGGGAACCTGTTCCATGGAGGGCTGGTGTGGGTGCGGGTTTTTGGGATGACCTCTCACTTAGCCAATAATAAAGCAGTGATTCTTAACTCCAGTCCTGGGGACCCACTGTTATTGGCTGATTGAGAGCCCATCCCAAAAACCTGCAACTGAAAGACTGGCCAGTAGTGTTCACTGATTGCACATTCCATCAGTAAGAGCAGAATGTGAAGGCTAAATTAGCAAAGCAATAGCACAGCTGTTCATAAAATCTTACCATCTACACAACATAATGTGTAACATACCCTATGCAATCTCATGAATCGCCACCTTATCGTGGTGAAGGGGTTTATGTGCTTCTGTGATTCTAGGAGCTATGTTGTTGGGAGCAATGAGTATTAAGCTGGCGTCATTGTATTTTGCTGGACAATTAGCAAACAGCAGTGCTGTGCTCTTGAACTTGTAAATGAACTCGCTAGCCTCCTAAGGCTAGTGGCATTTTAAATTAAGTTAATTTAAGAAATGCTCAGGTAGTGGCATTTTGTGGTTTGTTATATATGGGAGCCTTCATTTGCGATAAATCAGGCTAGCTAGTTTTGTTCCTAAGGACAAAGTTATTTTCCATCTTCTAAATGTGGGAGTTTTTATAGCCACTGAACTTGTGTAAAAGGGAGAACCGACTGCGTTGCAGTCGCTGGTCCCGTTTGTATTTTTTGAGTGTATATCTAAATAACAGTTTCTTTGAGTTTATGTTCGGCACCCTACTGTAAGACAAAGCTGGGAATTCACGCATTATGATAATTTAAGAAAGCGTTACGGTGCATCATTGCGCCTGCATTTATGCTTTATGGTTAACTGTGTGGTGTTGTGTCTATAAAGTAACACACAGATTGCACACTATTAAAAGAACAAGATAGATGGAGACCAAATTGTGCTGTTAGGAACCAAACAAAATACAGCTTTTCATAGTCCTGAGCACTCTTTATACATTTAGTTTATATGAAACTTTCTTTAACATTGAAAAGAAATACAGAACTTTATGCATCTGTGCGACGGACGTCTCCGACATTCCCTGGTTAAATGGCCGCTACGCACAAATCGTGACATGATACGCATGTAGCTTAATACAACCCATTGCCTCTGGTAGGGTCTCCCCAGGCAGATTGGTCCTTGGTGAGCAGCCAGACTAAGTGCAATTCAGAAGACCCTCATGATAAGCATTGGGGAGCATTGGGGATACTGGAGCCAGGCCTGGGGGGTGGGGGAGCTCTAAGGTGAGTGCAAGGTGACTGGACCTCCACCCATGGGGCCCAGGTGGGCATAGTCCAAAGGAGTAACATGGGTCCGCCCTCCTCTGGGCCCACCACCTGCAGGGACAGTCGTGAGGGTTGGGTGCAATGTCGATTGGGTGGCAGTCGAAGCCAGGGGCCTTGACAGAACGATCATCAGCTACCAAAACTGGCTATTGGCACATGGAATGTAACCTCTCTGGTGGGAAAGCAGCCTGAGCTGATGTAGGAGGTAGAATCGCTCTCAGTCTCGCAGTATCTCTCATCTGAGTTCGACGTGCAAAAGCTGTGTTCCTGTGTTTGGTGTGAAATTTTTTGTGCTTTATCTACAGCACATTTAGTGATACAGTAGTCATGGCCTCTAAGAAAGTGAGCAGTGATAGCAGCAAACCAAAGAGGAAAGTAGTGAGAGTAACTGTAGAACTTAAAAAGGTAATTATAGTGAAACTTGAAAGTGCTGCACGTGTCTGCTCTCGCTTTGGACTGTCATTTTTGTCACGTTTATTGCTTTTGTATGTGTGCTTTTTCATGGGTGTATTTGTTATATATTGATTGTCAATGCTTTTTATGATTAGTTAGATCATTACGCAATCATTTGGGGGTCTGGAATGGATTCTGCTCAGCTAAAATGATTGCAAATGCTTTAAAATGGCAACCAAAACCTAAAACACGTGGAAGAAAACGAAAAACTACCATTCGAATGGATTGAAGAATAGCCAAAATGGCAAAGACTCAGCCAATGATCAGCTCCAGGAAGATCATAGAAGGTCTAAAGTTACCTGTGAGTACTGTTACAATCAGATGACGTCTATATGAAGCCAAGCTATCTGCAAAAAGCCCCCACAAAGTCTCATTGCTGAAAAAAAAGAAGAGGTTACAATTTGCAAAAGAACACATTGACTAAAGAGAAAACGCCGCAACTTTTTGTGGACTGATGGAAGCA